ATCTTAACAAATCTCTAATCTGTTCTTGTATGGAATATTGTTGCCATATCTAGAGAGGATCTTTAAATGATGCCCTTTCTCTTTTATACAAGGTGTAAAAAGAAATTGTAAGTATAGTTGGACCTGCTCTTGCAGCCTCTAACCATTGTTACATTGTCGTAATGTTCCTTCTTTTTCTCTTTTCTATAAATATTATAATGAGTGCTGCTCTAAAGAGCTTGTGCTGTCTACTAAAATTCATTCTCATGTTTCTTGTCATTCAACTAAGTCTCATCCTTTTACTCTGACTGTTCCTTGCTCCAAAAATTCTTTTTTGACCAGTTTTTTTCCTCGAGAAAGACACCGCTAAAAGTTTATTTTAAAAAGTTTGTTAAAGAATTCAAAAAAATTTCATCAAACACCCCAGAATACATTAGTTTTTCAAGAAGCTTACAAATGTTAGATAAAAAAATACATTTCCTAATTGCATTTTAGTTTAAACCTATATTTATATATTGGAAATGTACAAGGTAAATTAAAATAATCAGAGAAGTTGCATTTATAAATTAAATAATAAACAATGTACAAAAAACTTTTAACAATTTAATTGATATTTGAAACGAAGGATTGCAAAAAATGGTTTTAAACAAATTTAGTTTAAAACCATTTTATGTTATTTATGGGTTTTAGTTAATAATAGAATTTATATTTTTATTTGGTGTTTAATTGAAATATTTGTTTTAAAGATTACATAGTTAAATTAGGAGTATTATTTTTTCAAGAAATACGTGCTAAAGTAAAAAATTTAAAAAGTTATTTTTAAATTTTTACTTAAGCACAGATATTAAAAAAAAACAAACAACCCTTCCTAATTTTACTACTATAATAGTACATTAGGGTATGTCAATTTTGGATTTTTTCAAATAAAAAATTGGGGAGTAACTAAAAGTTGCAGAATTTGATGGAGAATCCAAATATGGTTTTAAAATTTGAATTAAAATTTTTTTTGCTTTGGTAATTTGACTTTTTATATTAAAATAAAATTTTGAACTGGTTTCTCAAAAAACTCGGTTTTTACATAAATATTAACAAGTTTTTTTTTACTTTATTGGATAAATATCAGTTGGGATGTAAATGTTGATTAAAACTAATTTTGATAAATATATTTTCTTTAATAACTTGTATAAAATTTAAAAGAAATATTTTATTTCAACATTAGACTTTGAGTTTAAATTTTATTAAGCATATTAATTTAAAACTGAAATTAGATTGAGATTAATATATAAATATGAAAATATTTTTCAATTTATTTACAATACAGTTGGGCTTAACATCGCGTAATGATTTTATTGGTATTAGAAATACATTATTGGTATTAGAAATATTTTATTGATGTTTGAAATACAACGAGATATTTAAAAAAATCCGAATTGTTTCAATAAATATTATAAATTTAATACAAAAACATTTGTGTCAAACTTTCTAGGTCTCGTTTACTATTATTTTTAGGCATTAACTCTCTACTGGCCTCTTGAGTTCGCACAAATCCTTCTCTCATTTCATGAGTGTACACTCTACTTGAAGCTTCAGTAATTTGCTTTACGCAATGTTCAACAGATTGTCCATAACATGGCCAAATCTGCACCTGCATAGGATTTGATAAAAACACAACAATTTCAGAAGTTGTTAGTGAGGTAATTAAGACTGGTTCATAAACCGGTGACTCCCATGATATCAGGTCTACCAATTTTTCAGCATAATAGTTCAGAAAAGGAGTTTTTCTTGGTCTAAGAGAAGAATCACCTTTTCTAGATTTTCATTTCCAGTATCTCTTATATCTTTTATCTTATTAATAGCTACACTTCTATTCTTTTTGAAATCTGAGTTGCTGCAGCTGATAAAGTACATGTTTAGGACCTTCAATCCAAGAATGTTCAATTTTGATCTCAAACCATCAAGGAAAATAAACACCCACAATTTATTTGGTGATAAATCTTAAATTTTTTAAACCTTTACCTTGAATTCCATGTTTAGAGACCCATATTCTACATATTCTGTTAGCAGTAGTTAACCATCATGAATGTGAAACAGGCCAATTTGTAATAAATGAAATTTTAGTCGTAAAATATCACTTTTAATGGCACAAACAACTTTATAACCATAAAGTTGATCATTTATTATCTTATCATCATAACAGAGTAATGTTGTTCTTTTACAGTTACTGGAAATTTTGCATTTGAGTCATCAAGTTCAATCATTTGCTTGGTTTGATCAATTCTCTCATCAAAATAAATGCATTTTATTTCTCCACTTTTTACTATTTTATCAAAATATTTACTAAGATCAGAGATTTTTTCTTGCGCTCTTAAAACTTTACTATGGTCAATAACTAAATTTTTATCATCAGATGTTATTAACCCTGCATCAATAAGTGTTGCTGTAGCAATTTCTGTAGCACGTGCAGACACCCCATATCTATGTGAGAAGAATTGCATAGAAATTGAAATGTATATATATATATATATATATATATATATATATATATATATATATATATATATATATATATATATATATATATATATATATATATATATATATATATATTTATAAGTATAAATACATAATTAAAAAAATATTATTTAAAAGAAATTATACCTTACGCTATTCATAGCTATTTGTGAAATATCTAAGATGTTGTAACACTCTTTTTTATTCCTGATGGTTTCTATAGCACTAGAAGAAAATCTAAATTATTAATATCATCATTACTATCATTTAATTCTATTTCATTACTAAAAGCACTTTCTTTTTGATAGTTAATTTCATCTTACTCGATTATTTTTTAAATTAAAACAACATTGCTGTCTTTATTCTCCAAACATTTTTTTTTTAACTGTTTTCTGGTTTCAATGTTATCAAGTAATCAAATTTGATAACATTGAAAATTGCTAAGCTTGCTAACAGTTTTAGTTTTAACTCTTTGATAGTATATAAACTTAACGTCAATAGATGGTATTTTGTATTAAAAAATGATAAAATCATCACATTTTAAATTGGAAATTTGCATACTAGTATATCAAAATATTTATCAAGTTTTTCTTATTTTTATATATTATTTTTTTATATTATATAGTTTTTATTATTTATTATAGTTTACTATTTATTTAGCTCCCTTTTTCTTGGACAAGCTTTTGCTGAAGCGTTGTTCCACTACGTCACTATTTTATCACAAATTATTTTGCCAGTAATTAATTTAGGTGATATAAATTCCAAATTTGCCCTCGACCACTGACGTAGTAAAGCTTAAAGTATACCTTTTGCCATCTCTTTTACAGGATAATTTTTTCTTATGTATCTTATAACGTCTCTGTTGTTATAACCATATCTTATAACCTCTCTGTTGGTTGGTAATTCTGAAACTAGAAACTGTTTTCTTGTACAAATGCAACACAAAAACTAATTAATGGGGAGAGGGTTCTAAAAAGCTGCGGATGTTCTGGAAAAAAATTTAACAAAAACTTAATAAAGAAAGAAATTGATAATTTTATACCCGTTTTTTTTATTACCATTAGAGTACCCGAAACGGGTATTCTAAATAACATTTAGATAAATTTAATACAATAAATATCGGTTCGCGCACTACCGAAGCGTTTAAAATTTTTTAAACTTAATTATAACAACAACAACAACAACAACAACAACAACAACAACAACAACAACAACAACAACAACAATAACAACAACAACATCAAAAGGTTTCAAACTTTCAAAACAACTTTCAAATACAAACCACTTTTCAATGATAACAACAAATTAAAAAAAATATCTACAGATTTTTAGAGCTTCTGAACTTATTAAACCAACTTTCAAAAAAAAAAAAAAAAAAAAAAAACAGCACCTTTCAAAAGCAACAACAGATCAAATATTTTAAATTTTCAAAGCTTCCGATCTTTCGAAACAACTCAAAAACAAAACAGTTTTCAAAAATAACCACCTATTTCTAGTCAACTTTCAAACTTTAAAATGCTTCAAAATAATAATAATGCCATGATAGTTTACAAAACCAACGACGAAGTTTCAAACTTTCAATGATAGTTTACAAAAACAACGACGAAGTTTCAAATTTGCAAAACAGTAATAAAAAAAAAGAACAACAACAACTTACTAACAACTTTCTTGAAACAAAACGAAATGCCTAGGGGCGGATCCAGACCATCTTTTTGATCTTTGTTTTTAGATTCGGTTTATTCAGTCCATCTAGATAGGAAGAGAGTGGTTATTTTTTGATTCAGTTGATCCAGACTATTTAGTAAAGTAGTGGGTTGATTTTCCATTTAATGATTTGTAAGGGGGCAACCCCGAAAATCCTAAAACTTTTTTAGTTAATTTTTAAGAACACCAGTCTTACACTGTCTCAATATATCTAACTATGAAATTACGTCATATATTAATATCCTAACAGTCTGAGTTTTTTTTTTTTTTTTTTTGCATTACACAATTTTATTAAAATTTTTAATCAAATTAAAACAGCTCCCTAATTTTCTTCCGTTTTCAAGCAACATGCTTTGTTAAATATATAAGTTTACAAAAAAATTTTTTTTTCCAAAATAAGGAAGGGGAAGGCGATTGCCTCCATCGCTTCCTTCTCTCTCCCGAATGGACCCGCCCTCTCTCCGCCCTTGTTTGGGCGTCATGAAGTCTCTGTTTCTCTATGACTAGAATGTTTCTTACACGCAAAAAATCTATTTTTTTAAATGCCTAACAATTTCTTATATAACAGCTTTTACAATTTTTTTTCTCTAAAAAAAGCGTCACTTATATATACATAAGTTAAAAAAAGTGCACACCTGCCGTATGCAATTGGTGTGCATGTTAAACTTTTTTTAACCCCAAGGTTTTGGAGTAATGCACTTAGTCATTACTCTAAAACAATCAAAAATCATTTAGTTTCATAAAAAAATAAAATTAAGTTTATAACTATTGCTTGTTGTTACAGCAAATAAAATGATTTTTATTTATAATATTTGTTCCAAGTTTCTAAAGTTCTAATTTGACTTTTCTCACAATTTTATAATAATCTGTTTGATTAATTAGCTATTTAATTAGCTTAATTAACTAGTCGTTTGCGAGCTTGACTGTACTAAACGCTTTTTCAAGTTTTAAGTCTGTTGATGTCTCCGATATTTTTAAGTTTCTAGAAGAACCACATTCCGAAGAAATCAATTTTAAAATTTGCTGATACCCTTTTTTTATATCCCTTTGTTTAGAATAATAGATTAGCGGGTTTATACAAGAATTGACTTGCATAAAGAAAACGGCACACATATAAAAAATTTCATGTGCTTCTGGACTATATTGTACATTTGCAAGTTCTAAGATCATAAAAAGGTTTAAAGGAAAAATGAATGTAAAATAACAGGTGATAAGTAAAGTGACAGATTTTGCCACTCTTATGTTATACTTAAGTTTTCTAGAATTTTCTGTGCGTAAATAGTTTACCGAATATTTCGTTGAATCGATATTATTATCTTTGCTTGATATGCTATTGTTTGATTCAATACTATCAAAAACTATTTTTTTCAATTTGGTACTATTTGATTTGTACCGGCGAAGCATGACTTCTCTTTTATGAACTTCCTTTGTGATTAGGAAATAAAAAACTACAAGTGTAGGTAGAGGAAGCGTGCAATTAATGATACGTAAAATAACATAAGTTGTCATATTAATTTTTTTTAAAATAGGAATGAATCCAGGAAAAAACCAAGCAAAGCCAATTAGAAAAATCACTTTTTTTTTAGTCATATATTTGTTGTAGTTTGTTAATTTACTCAGTAATAAATATCTATCGTACGAAATCACTGCTAGTGTTGACAAAGAAGAACCGACAAGAAAAACTAGTATATAACCGCGAATAAAATGAACTGTGCAATTTGATAACAGATCAGTATTTAAAAATTGCGTAATGGTTATGGGACCAAGTATCATTCCAACAAACAAGTCAGAGGTAGAAAGCGAAAGTAAAATACAATTACGTATTTCTCTTTTCTTCATTCTAATGATTATGATAACAACAAACAAGTTTAATGTTATTGTTGCAACAACTGGAATAGTTAGAAGGATTGCAAATATCTTTGAGTTCGTAAATGAAAGTAGTTTTGTCCGCCAACAAATCATTGTATTGTATATTAATGCTTTTATAATATGAAAATAAATAAAGAAATACGCTCTTGGAATTCGTTTAGTTTAGCAGTAAATATAAATTTATTGAGAGTAACATTTATAAACAGAAAACGAAGCTTCAAGAAAAAACTGAACCGGTTTCTTTTTAACTAGAAGAAGATAAGTGAGATCTTTTTTTTAACCTTTTTTTCTATTCTACATAATCTATAGTTTAAGTTTTTTCTAAAAGTATTACAAAAATCATTTACTTATTTTTTTTTTCAATTCGTTTATATTATTTAAAAAATACATAGCGTCGCGCTTTTATATTTTCGATGTGGAGAAAATCAAGCTGGGGCTAACAGACTCAATTACTTCATAAAAGATAAAATTTATGAAGAATAGAAAAATTTTTAACAAACCAAAATTTAAAACCATAGCTTGATATGTGGAAGCTTTTTTATTGCAAAGACAAATATTTTACGTATTGTTTGGTTTTAGAGAGTTAAGAGATATATTCAAAACCTTTAGACAATTCTTTTAAAATAACAAAATAAAAATTCAGAGCTTTTTTTTATTTTTTCTCTATTAAGAAAAAATCTAATTGATAATGTATTTATGATGTAAAATTAATATTTAAATTAAAACAATAAATGGCAGGACGCTAAGCTTAGAAGGTGCTTTTTTTTAATTCATTTAGAGTCACCTTGGTATTTTTTCAAACAGTGTTAGAATTACGAAATAAAATTTTTTTAATCTTCTAGTTATATAAGTTTTTGGTAATCTTAATGAAAGACCACATTTTATTGACTTTTTAGGTAGTTAAAAAAAATCTCATACCCATGTTATTGTTTTTTATTTTAATATATTTTTTGAGGTCTAAATAATATAAAAACTAAATCAGAAATAAAGTTAAAATTTAGTTAGTTATTGAAAAACAAATAAGAAATATTTATCACACTTTGTTTTATTTTTTTAAATCTGCTTTTGACTTTGGTTTTTGATAAAATGAACTTGTGTCACTTGTGTCGTTAATTCTATTTAAAATGAACTTTTCTCTTTTTTTATTTCAAGTACTGTTACTTATTTTTATTCATTATATTAAGGAAAATCTAGATATAATCTGGATTAAGTAGTACATATTCTTTGAAATTAACAATGAAAACTCATCTTTTTTAATTTTTTACCAGAAATTATTGTTATTATTTTTATGTCATCTTACGACAGAGTTGTATCCCATTTATTTCAACATGTATGTCCTATTGAAGTTCTTTTGTTTATAGTGGCCCTACTATCAATTTAAAAATTAATTTTAGTTTATTTGAATGTTGTTCAACTTGCAACCAGTTCAGATTTGCGTTAAGAAATTCAAATTAGAATGCATGTAGTGTAACGAGGGGCAAAATGAGACACTTAAGCGCTAATATATCTAATACGGCCCGTCTAACAACAGTTGAAAAAATAAATTGATATTTTTCAATTTTTTTACGATCCTACTTGAAGCCTAAAAAGTATGAGTTGCAAAACTGCAGTTGTTTGGTCACCAGAGATCATTTATTGACAGCACCTATCCTGTCTCATTTTACCCCGCATACCGGGGCAAAATGAGACAGATTTTTTTTTTAGTAGTTTAAATAAATAAAGTTAAAAAAAACATATCTTTAAGAGGATTAGCAAGAAATACATTTTATAATATATTACAGCTATAATCAAACTGTCACTAGTCACATAAATCACATATTGCTTAACCAGTATTTTGAAACAAACAACAGTCCGAATGAGCCCAGGTTGTGCATTTTGGAAATTGACTCCACTTATATATATATATATATATATATATATATATATATATATATATATATATATATATATATATATATATCCACTACAAGAACTAATAAAACCATACATGCATATATTAAACTTATGTATTTAAAGCACGCATAACATTTATTGTATTTTGTTTACAGGTACTGCAATAACCTATGTTATAATCTACTCACTATATATAATATATACTACTTACTTTATTACATTACAATACAATAAGATTATAAAATACAAACATAGTAATTATAAACATCAGGCAATTATTTGCTTCAATTTGATTAAATATTTATTATATTTAAATATAAGTTAACAAAATATAAAACGTAATTCTATATTGGATAACAACTAAACATTTCAATTAACAAAATAAAAAGTAAGTAAATACAGTATAATAAATTTAAATTTACAGCATGTAAATATTAATATTTGCTTTGGTTGTTGTTTTAATGTAAAAAATTAAATAAACATAATATTAGATATCGGCAAAAAAAAATACAAACAGAATGTCTCGTTTTGCCCCGCATCATGTTGGCATCGAATAGCCTAATTTCCAGACTATTTTATTGAAGAAATAAAATACCAAAGAATGGAAATGAAAGGAAAAGGCCTAAAGGTTCTAATTAAAAAAAAACTTTAAACATAAAAAGCTTTTCCACTCAGTGAGATCAACAAAGGCTAGGAAAAAATATAATAACAACTCTTAAAAATTCGTAATTTTCGCGAAGTCGAGGGATGAAATGACTCCCCTTTTACTCAACTTTTTTATTTCAAAGTGACTCAATATATTTTTCTTGACACAAAATAGTTTTTGAACACAACTGCACTTTTAAAAATCTTGCAAATAATAATTTGTAGGGCTGGCATTATGTTAAACGCGAACTGTCTCGTATTGCCCCGCTGTCTCTTTTTGCCCCGCATAACCCTGCATTGGAAAATAAGCTATAGACCCTTTGAGTATATTTGGTTGAAAAGCCTAAAGTGTTTTTAGAGGTGAAAAATTAAAACTATTCTAAACTATTAAGATACGAAATATCTTGCATAAAGTTGTCTTCTATATTAAGCTTTAATTTTTACCGCTTCTTGATCTTTTAACCAGATGAATAGTAACCTTAACGAAACAGCTATTACAATCACAATTTTAAACTGATATTGTTGAATAGAATCACAAAGTTGAATAATAAAGTTACACTTTAAGCTTATGTTCCGAGAATTCATGGAAAATAACTGTATATCCAGGTTAATTGCAACTTTGTCATCGTCTTTTGCTTTGCAAAATATTGAGGGTAAAGCAACAGCTTTAGAGCAGCTATAATTTCACGTGGTCGTTTTGCAATTTGTTTTAAAGCGGCAATCTGAGTCTGATGCTCGAAAGCTTTTAAAGCAAGATTTTTCATATAGGGGGACTGCAGCTGAAAACTAAAAGATTTTTCATTTATTTTTTGCAGTAGTTAATAAAACTTATACATAAAAAGTTTAATATTGATGAAGGAAAGCAACACCAGGCTTTCATATGGTGACAATTGGCATTGCTGCAGCTGAAGTGCCATTAAAAAAATACTTTTAAAAAAGTTTACTTTAGGCAGGTGCATCAATTACATCATGCACTAATATAATCCAATGCACAGTGACTCAGAAAGGTAAAAATGGACAAAATCCAAAATTTAAAAAAATTCCTTTTAGTATAAAAAATCACTCTAAACTATTGAAATGGCTATAGTTTAGTATAAGTTAAATGAAAATGAATCAGTTTTCTTTCTTAACGTGCTTAAACACCGCCTACTATGTGTGTAGGTATAAAACAAAAAAACATATTGCGAATTTCGCGAAACTTTTTATACATAATAAAGTTATTTTTACAGACTGAAATTGCCAAAAGAGGCATAATTTTGAGATTCGTAAAGGTCAATCTGTCTATAATCAGCAACGATCCAAAATAAAAAAGATGTTTTGAAATTTTATTATTCAATTTTTCATAATAAAAAAACACAAAGGTTATTTAATTTATATCAATTTTTTAGAAATTTAAAAGACATTATCTCAAATTGTCTACAAGCGCCCACCCTCCCTATATATTTTTAGTCAGAAGCAATTTAAATAAATTCCTGGATAATTCAGTCGCCCAAACTTATCCCGTTGTCCTTTTTGTCCGTAAACGTCATGCTATCATTATGCTTATCTCCCTAACATTTTTATTTCAACGAAGGTTATAGCACGGGCAAAAAAAAAAACCTAAAATAAAAGTTGGTATAAATAAATTTAAAATGAAAATTGTTTAGGCCGTTTTCCGACCTCTTTAAGGCACTGTTTGCAATACGGTTTTTAAATAAGTGCTGACATTCTAGGAAAACTTGATTAGTTGGGGTTTTAGATAGGTCATTTTTAATTAATTATATGCTGATTTTGATGAGAAACGTAAATGCACCATCGCTTTTTAACTTGGTTTTCTAATTTTTTTAACAGCTTTCTATTTTCTTCAACAGCGGTTCTTTGTGACAAAATATGATGGTTATATTATAGTTTTAAATTATTTATTTTTCAAATAATTTATTGAAGAAATTAATTGTTTAAAACTACAATTCTTTGGTAATTTAAAACCATTATTCTTTGGAAATTATCTGCTATGCATATCACAAGGGATGCAAAAAAAACATGTTTTTTTACTAACGTGTTTTTCAGAAAGAAAAAAATTTTTTGAGTTTTTTTGGCTTTTACTGACCCTTATAATGTTTTTGTTTACTTACTTTTAACTTTTTTTAAATGTTTCCAACTTATCTAAAATGTTTCTATTTAGTTTTGTTTGAGTATTTTAGATTCTATATTAGATATCATTTTAGATTCTATATTAGATTCTATATCAAAATTATCTATTTTAAAGTGTGAGCAGAGTTCACAAAAGAAATTACTGATTTTTTTATTACTCAAACGGTTAACAAATTGTTCTTTTCTAAAATTAAATGTTAACAAATTTAATTTGTTAACACTGGTTTGCATTCATTCTGCTAAAACATTTGTTTTTAATGTTAAGAAAAAAATCTTTTGAACTCAAAAAACTTAGCTACATAAAAAAACAAACAAAAAAACGACAATTCCTTACTTTTGATGTCTCTGTATTTTATAAGAAAAATGTTTCTTTAAAGAATTTTTTCAATTTTATTTTAGCTTATTATCAGTAAGTCATTGAAGAACAATTATTAAAGTTAT